GTTCGTTATGAGGAAAAGGCAAACGAGGTTTAACTATGGCGAACGATGTCGACCAGTGTCTTTGGACGCTTACAGCCTTGACAGTGTTTCCGCGTACAACAGCGTCAGACGCAAAGGAGTGGCGAGGTCTTCGAAAAGAAGCTATGGGAATCCGACTTTCGAAGATTCGGTGAGTTTCGTTGTCTCCTCGATTTCGTAAGAATCGAAAATAAATATATTAAATGATAGAATTATAATTGGTGAGCAATAACGAATAAAAATTTTTTTAAAAGACACATTTTTTTTTTAATGAGAAGATATGTAAATGAGTTAAACGAGTACAAAGATATATAAAGACGAATAAAATATTTATTTTTGTGAAAAAAAAAATATATAAATGTAAATAAATCTAAATTTAGATAATTATTTTTTAAAATAACAATTTTGTAAAAGAAAGAGAATTCGAAATTATAGGATATAAATTATAGGTTGATTATTATTGTATGATATTTTATTTTTATTGTATAATAATTAATAATATCATCTCATATATAAATATAAAAATATATATTTTTTTAATCGTATCCTAGCCAAACGTATTCTTCTGTTTGTAGCCAACGTTTAACACGTTCTTGTAAATATAAGTTAATTATTCAGGTAATAAAATTGTTTTTCAGTAGTAGTTTATTTTCTTTGTAACAAATTATTGTAAAATGTAAATGTAAAATGTAGTATCGATACGTAACACGTAGTCGTTGTTATTAGAAAGCTACACATTTTTAAAATACTTGCTACCATGTATTGTACACGTTAGGAGATAGTTTATATTTTTCTAAACTTCTTTTCACTTTTACATTATAATCAAAAAAATTCTATTATCTCAAAATTAATAAAAAATCTAGAGAGACATCGACGTATATAGTTCACGTAACAGTAGGTTTGCAAGAAACGAAATAATAAAATTGTAACATTTAATTGAGTTTAGAGGAGTACATCCAGGATGTCTAAGTGAAGAAAAATACGCCTATTAACTTAAACATCACCGTCTCGATTAAATTATCGAAGCGGTTGTCAACACCTTCTCCTTTATTCTCTCGAAGATCTTCACGAAGATCGATAATAATAATCGAACACATCCGAGGGAAACTCCGCTCAACTCCGTTAAACGGGCAAAAATACCGAGTTTCTTCTATAAAACGTCCATTTGTCCTCTTTGCAGAGCGCAATACCATCTCACCCGTTGAATTTCGCCGGACTTTCATCTTTCTGTAACGACATTAACGCAATCAACGAGGAATTCGCCGGTATCCCGCAAGTTTCGGCGAAGATTGACGAGCTACCCGCTGGAGCGGAAGTGAAGAACAGATACGCGAACGTGATACCGCTTCCGGAGACAAGGGTGCTCCTTCAAAAAATCAACAACGATCCTCTTACCGAGTACATCAACGCCAGTTACGTTCGGGTGAGTGAATTTTTGAGCAATTGTTTATTGCGTTGCGAAGCGATCTGATTGCTTAAGTGTCGGTCAATCCTCTGGCTATTTTACGAGGGAATTTTCGTTTTGTTAAAAGATTAACTCTTTGCGCTCGAATGATGACTCGCAGACACCATTTTGATACGATAATTCGAGAAGTGATTCTCCATCACCGCTTGGATCGATACGACAATTCAAATTTGGTGAAAATATTTATTTACGTTTGATTTTTTTAAAATAGATTTCTAAACTCTTTACGTATAATTTTATAAAGCGTATTTATACGTATATATATATATATACGTATAATTTTACGTATAATTTTAAAAATTTAAAAGTTTATAAAGCGTAAGAATAATATATGAATTCGAATGGTTAGATTTTTTTAGATCTCAAATTAGATCGAACTAAATTTTCGGCGAGTTTTATAGTCGTGGGAATAGAAATATTATTTTCAAAGTTTTCGAGTTTTGTGAGCGTGGAACACGGTAATGAAATTGGTTCAAGCGAAGATGAGTTTGATTTTCTTGTTAGTGAATAATGAAATTATTTCCATTCGTTAAGAAATTGACGACGAGAGAGAAGGAAAATAGTGATGAGAATAGGAATGTAATAAGAGAAGAAAAATAAGAAGAATAAACAGATTATTTCTATTCGTTAAGAAATTGATCACGAGAGAGAAAGAAAATAGTAATGAGAATAGGGATGTAGTATAAGAAGAATACAGAATGAATGAAAAATAAGAATAATAGACAGTGAATGTGAGAACACATTATTGGGATTAATTCAAAATGAGTTTTCGTTATTAAATAACGAAATTATTTTTATTCATTAAGAAATTGACGATAGAGAGAAGAAAAATAGGAATAGTAA